TGACTTCTCCTTCCCCAGAGTACCCCTGGCTCCTTTTCCTATCAAAGAACTACTAAAGCACTAAGTCTGACTGATTTCATCACCTAAGTGTCCCTCGTATCTAGTTCTTCCTTTATCCCTCCTGCTACTGTCTTAGCACAGGCCTTTATCATCTCTCACCTGGACTGGCACCTGCAACGAGTTGGCCTGCCTCCCATCACCTGCACACCCAGACCCAATCCTGTGGCTCCTTTGCTTGTAATTCTTTCCTGGATCCCCACTGTTCACAAGTGGGAATACCGTGGGAAGGCACAAAAGGTTGTATATGATGTAGTCCCCTGTCTACACCCCAGGTCAGGCATGGTGCCTAAATGTGCTGTGAACTCTCCATACATTTTTACCTCCCTGTGGATACTAACATAATCTCATTCAAGCAGGGGCCCTTATGGTCCAGTCTCAAAACATTATCATGATCAAAAAACAGTCTGCCAAATGAAAAGTAATTTCTGAATAACTAAGTGTTTTTGTTTTTGTTTTAAATTATTAATCTTATGGCACCTGGGTCGCTCAGTTGATTTTGGCTCTGGTCATGATCTCACAGTTTATAAGTTTGAGCCCTGGGTTGGGCTCTGCATTGGCAGAATGGAGCCCACTTGGGATTCTCTCTCCCTCTCTCTGCCTTTCTCCTGCTCATGCGCTCACTCGTGTGCGCTCTCTCCGTCTCAAAATCCATAAGTAAACTTGAAAAATTGCTATTTGGGGACATTTTAAGTGGGCTTAATCCTGAGAAATGTTTCTCTTTTTTACAACCTTTTTCTCTTCCATCCACTTCTCTCCTGTACTGCAAATACTCCCCATTTCTCTTCAGATCTACCCCTGTTTCACTCTCCCCAAGCCCTGGCTCCGTTCCCTCTTCATTCCATTCCTCCCTCTCCTCCCGGTTCTGTGCTGCAAAAGGCCAGAGGACTGGAGGGCCAGAGCAGGCAGCAGCTGATCAGACAGACAAAGCCAGATACCTCTTTAGTTAGCAGCGAGAGAGAACAGCCTGGAAATACACAATTACAATTTGGGTTTCATTACACAAAGATGAATAAGCCATCTGTGATGATGGACACCCCACTCCCCATTGATGTGGATGTCATAATCATTTCATGTTTATTTTTGTTGTAGGCGACTTTCATCTGTGGGTGGCAGTGCCAACATTATAATGAGCCAGGAAAGCTTGCTTACTGGAAGAGGGGTTGAGGGTAGCTTGTGTTAGGGGAACTGCCTCTGCCAGGAAGCCGGGACTGTCTGTTCTCCTTGGGATTCACACTCTGGGCTGCGGCTGCTTCTGGCTGGCATCACCTGTGGTGTTTGAGAGAGATGTTTTGGAATTGGCTCTCATGAAAGTAAAGAGCAGTAAGGCCGCCAGAGCCAAAAAGCAGACTGCTTTGGCTGGTGGGAGTGAGGGTCTCTTTGCTTTGGTCACATGTCACTGTCTCCTGGCCTGCTGGCCACATGCACAGCCCCTTCACCATTCCTGATTTCTGACTTAGCCTGGCCCCTTGCCTAACTACTTGCTCCAGAACTCAAAGGCCTTCCAGTGTTTATATCATGTTAATTTTGGGTGCTATTTGCTTATCTGGACATTGACTTCTCGCTATCTGCTTTCTAAAGGACCCTGCTTCTGACCCGACTACTTTGGACTTGAGAGAATTTAGCAGCGGGAGGTGATGAGCCAATTAAGGACATCCTGAGGGGAGGGATTAAATTGACCCTGTTGTGGCAGAGAGAAGGTAACTTAGGAGAGACTGTATAGAATGCAGTCTTTGACTTTGGTGCACGTTGGAGTTACCTAGAGAGTTAAGAGGGGGGAAAAAAAGATGCTTTAGTCCCAAACTTCTTAAGTTAAAATTCTTTGGGATGGGGACCTGTGGAGGCCAGTCTCCAGGATTGCACCTGGTGATCCTTTCCCGGGGTATTCCCTCCCACGGAATGTGGGCAGGACTTTGTGACTTTCTTCTAATGAACAGAATAAGATGGAACACATTTTAAAATGGTACCTAGATTTGCAGGGCGGAGACAAAGTGGGAGAAGGGAATAAATGTCGCCTTGACCTCACGAGTGTATTGTCTGAGCCTCATTGATTTCCACTTCTCATTGAGTCCCAGCCCAAGGTTGCCTGGCTGTACTTGGCTTCTTTGTCCTCTCTGACTCACAGTGATGGGGGTACATCAAAGGAACATGATGAACGTTTCCCTATGACTGTCACCACCTTTCAAAGCCCTAGGAGTGTGTCTGTGTGCTTGAGCATATGACAGTCTAGCTTAGGGTCACTAAAGATAAAGGGGAAGGTATTGTGAACCAGGCTGGAGCAGCTAATTGACTTAGCTATTTACTTCCAGATTTGTAGGACACCACTGCTGAGTAATTAAACTTACTGAGCTATTTCCATAAGATATTAACTTTATGTAATCCTCACTAAACATGAATTGAGAGCTGGGTTTGGATTTTGTTTTGCTGTTTTTCATTTTGGAATCAGTAATTAAAGATTATTCAATTATGATAATGCGTTTCTTTTAGGGATGGTCTCTGTAGGTGAAGCCTGCTGAATACCATGCAGCTTGGAGGATAATGATTTTAAAAACTCTCCTGTAAAGTTCCAAGTGGAGGAGACATGCTTTCTCACTTTTTCTAGGCTAGATGTTCTCTAAACTTCATTCCAGAACCATCTTTAATGCAAGGTAGATGTTCTCCCCAGGGTTAAAGATGGACAGGATTAGGCAGTGCGTGTTAGTGACTCGGAGCCCAGGCACATCTGGCATCCTGGGATCCCTTTAGTACATTGTGGGCAGCAATGGAAAAGGGCTCCAGGTTTTTTTTTTGTTTTGTTTTTTTTTTAATTTTTTTTTTAAGGTTTTTATTTATTTCTAGGAGAGAGAGAGAGAGCGTGAGCAGGGGAGGGTCAGAGAGAGAGGGAGTCACAGACTGAAACAGGCTCCAGGCTCTGAGCTGGCAGTCAGCACAGAGCCCGACACGGGGCCTGAACCCACGAACCGCGAGATCACGACCTAAGCGAAAGTCGGACGCTTAACCGACTAAGCCACCCAGGCACCCCCGGGCTCCAGGTTTAATAATCACAGTTAAATGGTGGTATAGAGTGGCCAGAAAGAAGAGCTTCAGGCTCTAGGGTGGCCCACAAATCTCCAAGAGTTGAAAGGAAAGACCCCACTCAGGCTATGCTGGCAGGTAAGGCTGCACAGCTCATACTGGTTGCTTCTCTGCAAACCAGCTCTTGTCTCAGGCTTCCCCAGCAAACATTTACTGAGTGCTAGATGTTGATGTGCATAGCATCTCTGGTGAGCAAGTAATCAGCATTCCTTCCTGAGAGCACCTATCAGCCAGGAGAGCAGAGGGCACATCCAGGTACAGAAGGCCAACAGGCAGGCCCCTGGCTAAGCTTTTGGCTCTGCAGGATCCAGATCTCTCTCCCTGGTCCGACCTGTCTCTCGGGGGAACAGGCAGAAACAGAAGAACCTTCTGAATAAGGCTAGACTTAGGTTTTGAGTCTTTCTAACTTGGCCAAGTTTGTTTTGCTAAATCTCAGTTTCCTCTTCTGGAAAGTAGGGATGAGACCTGTAAAGTCAACGTGCATCTTCTTATCAAAGCACTTTTAAATAACTGTTCTCAGATTACAAAGTTCTCCAAATTGGGCTTCCAATCTTATCTCAGCCATTGTGATCCTAACACTAAGGAAGCATATGTTTCTCATATTTACTTGGGCAGAGATGGATTTGCTGTGAAGCTAATATGGTTGTAGTTTTAGGGTCCTTTCCAAGGCTCTGAACCTAACTTGGTATTAGGAATTTTTTTATGATCACCCAAATTTTAGAACCATCAGACTCTGCAAAATATGGACTCATGCCTGCATTGGGACTACTGGTCTTATATATTCCCAATCTCAAATTTCATTTCAATGTCTGTTAGCACTAACTGGGATTTTTGGAAGCCATGGGTACAGGAAACTGCTATTTTAAAATATTTTCTTTAGACTAGTATGTCCTTTTAGTACTTATTCTATACTTCCTCCAGCTATTCCCTTAGGACTATAATCTCTTCTGTCTGTAATGGGTTTAAATATTATGAATATATATATAAATTTAAAACATATTTTGAAATAACTTACAGCTTGTCTGTCCTTTGGTTGCCTATTCAACTTAGCCCTAAGGCTTAGTAAGCCTTAGTCCTGCATTCCCAGCCACACACATTCTACATTTTTCTAGAATCGCCAAACCATCTCTGGTTAACCAAGTCATCAGTATCCTCTGATTATATCCATGCTGACTTCAAGCCTCTTGGCCACCATAGTTAGCCCTCAGGTCTACTTAAATATATGCACATTGCCAGACTAATATTTTGTGAGACATCTGTTCACAATTCAGAGGTGCTGCACAGTCTGATTTTGTTTTTAGATGTTGAATCTAAAGGCATTTTAGTCAACTTCATGTTACATCTTGTCTTTGCCTCTCCTTATTTGGGAAAAATACTTAGGTAAATTTTGGCTCAGTTTTCACATTGTTTTGAAAGCAACAATAGTTAGAATTGCCCTTTTGGAAGAGGATAAATTAAGATGAGATCTGTTTTGTTCATGGTATATCCCATGCCTAGACTAATGCCTGGCGCTTAATATATGCTCAATAAATCTTAGTGTTTAAATGAGTGAAGGAACAACGTATATACACCCAGAACTTGCTGCATTTGAGCTGAAGTGCCCCAAAGAAATTGAAGTTTTGTTCAAGAGACTGAAGCAGAGGATGGCTGAGGCAGCAGATTATAATCTAATCAGAGATTCTTAAGGCTTCAAGTGGAGAAAATCAATAACAAAGACATGATTTGCTTAAAGGAATTTGGCTATTTCCTCTAGACCCAGGAAACCACTGCTGAGAAGTTCATGATGCCAGTTCAACTGGGCAAGCAGACTTTCGCTGAAACCTTGCCTGCTGGAGGAAGTGAGAAGGAGCTGGGGGAGGAGGATCACTCAGCGTGGTGCTCTCACAGGGGACAAGCACCAGAGCACCTGCCTTCAAACAGGGCTTCTGAGCCTCAGATCCCTAGAATTGGGTCTACTGACTCTGGATGGGGGTGAGTGTGGTTTGGAACCCCCCCTAAAATTATAGGCAGGCTTTTGGAGAATATGCATTGTTGTGGGGATTCCAGTACTTTGGCAATTCTTAAATAGTTCTAAGTCCCAGGAAGGGTGAAGAATCACTTGCGTTTCTGCTTAAAATCAGGAAGCTAGAGGGAGAAAGTAGAGGGTTCAAGGTGTCACCTGCCATGAACGTGCAAGAGGAAGCAGCAGCATTCTGTGACACTTTCCGTTACCTCTACCCTTCCGGTATGGAGAAAAAGGCTATTTTTCACACCAAACTGTGCCATTCTCTCCAGATTGGCACCTCTGGGTGCTCACCAAACATTAGCAAATCTTGCTATTCTTCCTAAGTCCTCAATTTGGTGATTGTCTTCTGCACAGATTTAGACCAGACAATGTGCATGCCCTAATGTACTTAGCTGGCAGATAAGAAAAATTGTCTAGAGGAAGCATCTGTGACTGGAAAAAAAAGAATGGATATGTATTCATGTTTATCTCATGTCATAGCAGGAAGTACCTACATTCTTCTTTCCCTTATTTGTTTCACCGTAGGAGGTCGGAAGGAAACGCTTCATGCAAAGACATTGAAGGAAGGGGTTTTCAAGAGGGACAGTTAGTGACTTTGATGTGAAAGTTATGAAACTCCCTGGTCATCAGGCTGGATTTTGATGACAATGAAGGAGTTCCTTTAGGGCCAAGAGATAACATGCAGCTTTAAATTTAAGCTCACAGACTCCTAAAATGTTCTTTTATATCCTGCAAGGGTGAAGGAGCAGAGGGAGGGAACAGATCTAAGAGGAAAGGGAAGCTCTACCTTGACTGGGTGATTTTTGCTCTCTGTATGAAAAATAGTCAAACCCCTCTTTCTCCTGGGCTCTGCAGATGCAGTCATCACTGGGGACCTCTCACACACATCTTGCACTGTGGGGAATGCCCTCCGTTCCCTGGGCAAGCCACATCCTAGTAGCCCATGGCTCATTGGTAGTCTACCCAATGGTGTGCTGGAGCTGGCCCATACCACCTCATGAAGCTAATTGTGCATATCCATTTCTGACTGTATATGCAGGGACTTCAGTCTAGTAGCTGGAGATTGGCCATAGTGAGAATAGTTACACTCAAGTGCTCCATATCCACATGTGGCTAGTAGCTTCTTTATTGGACAAAACATTTCCATCACTGCAAAAGTTGCATCAGATAGTGTTGACTTGGATGGATGGTGCCATGAGAAGTTTAAAATGGTAGGGATCTGATATGAAAATGAAGGAGAGCCCTAATTCTAAATAAATTCCAGTGTACATTAAATTAAGATCTTGAAGTTTAGTTTGCACAGCTATACAACATTTCTCAATCAAGATGTTATCATCAAGCCTCTAGAGAGGGACAAGAGACAAGATTGTACCATCTTATAGCCTTTGGTCATAGCACCACAGGAAACAGTTTTTTGGGCAAATGTCATACACATTTGTGAATGTTGATATGTGTGCTTTTGACTTTGTCACTTGCTTTTAAATCATCATTGGGTTTTTGACACTGTCACGCATCAACTTTTGCTAATCTGCCTAGAGGTCAAAGTTGGGATGTGGGACTGAGAAGAGGAAGCTGAGGAGTCTTAGAAGGCATCTTCTAGGCCAAGGACCATTGCAAGTTGGTAGTCTCAGTAGAGCTCATATTTTATGGGCACTAAGGAAAAGTCTCTTCTCTATGAGGGTCCCAAAATTTTTGCTAGTTATGGAAACTGGGGGATTATTAGACTTTATTTGGGGACCTTGGCTTTCTACCACCCTGATTATTTCATTCATTAACCAGTGAGTGGGTTCTTAAACAGTAAGCTGTGGGTTTTCCCCAATCAGAAGTAAGAGGAATTGATATTCATGTTTCAGTGTAATGTGTATGAATGAATATATATTTTGATCTGATCACCAGTTTTGATATCTGAGTAATGGGCCATGCCTGGGTAATACCCCAGAGCTATCACCATCACATTACTGTGCAGCATTTGGAGCCCCCTGTTGACAGAGTCCTTGAGTGAAAAATGGCTTTGGTCTTAGAAGTGGTCTTCTGAGCACAACCCATCAAGTCCAGTGCTCGAGGGGCCTGTGTGTGTTGTGACATATCTTTATAACCTGCAGCAGAGACAGCAGTGAGGCAGTTTTGCTGATGTATGTAGGCTTAATGGTCTCTATGTTGTCATCCTGAGTTATGAAGCTTTTCCAAGGCGGATGGTGGTGCAATGCCTGATGGCAGAGAAGGAAGTCAAGGTGGGGAAATGTGAGGAGCTCCAGTGGTGAATCAGGGAAACCACCCCAGATATGGGATAGCTGGACTTAACCTAGAAAGGCATGTTTTCCCCTGGTACACACAGAAGTCTTTCAAGAAAGATCATTAAGCCCCTGAGAAAGCAAGAAGGGAATGACCCAAGGATCACGTGGAGGTTGATGATGAATGGAAGGTGGTTGTATTATTTTTTCTGGGATGCAAATGTGGAATGATCACGTTGCCTGGACTTCTAGACACCACCCACTAGTAGCCCCTTTCTTTATGTTTATGTTCTAGAAGCCCAATACTTTTCTCTGCCTTTTAAAAAAATATATAAAGAGAACATGGTTGCTCTTGGAGAATATAAAAAATAAATCAGACTATATTTGAAAAACATTTTTTCTTGTTTAGTTTTAAAGAGAGAGTGTGTATCATTATCTGCCTGAAGGGAACTTTGGGAACACATCTCAGTCAGGTGGCTCCAGGTTCCTGCTTAGCCTGGAATCAGACCAGAATTGAGGCCTGACTCTACAGATAACATAAAAAACTTAAAGCCTGAGTTAGAAGACCTGATTCTGTTATAAAGTCCTTCTTATGGTTCTCTGATTCTTTTTAAAAAAAATTTTTTTATGTTTATTTATTTTTTGAGAGAGAGACACACACAGAGTGTGAGCAGGGGAGGGGCAGAGAAAGAGGGAGGTACAGAATCTGAAGCAGGCTCCAGGGTCTGAGCTGTTAGCACAGACCCCAATGTGGGGCTCAAATTCCTGAGCCATGAGATCATGACCTGAGCCAAAGTAGGACGCTTAACTGACTGAGCCACTCAGATGTCCCAGGTTTCTGGTTCTTGAACCTATTATTCAAATTCCTTTCTGTGATCTTTCACTCACTCTTGTCTCATTTCCATTGGGAAATAGCAAGACTTCTATTCCATATTTCTGCTTTTGGTATATTTTTATTCTTTCCACATTGACTCTATTCCTGGATTCTCAATATCTGGATGTTTGGGTCTCAATCCTCAACTGGTAACTCCAGTTGCTCCACTGATCATTTGCTTCTAGAACTATTAGGAAAAGGACACTGCATTTGCTATGGACACAAACTTAGCTTCTATCTCTGTAGGGTAGTATTTTGGAAACACCAAAGGGAAGAAAATGGCCTTATTTCAAAAGTTACTTTAGTCCTTAGAAGAAATATTTCATGACACTTATTGTGGGCATCAACCTATGAAGAATATGAAGATGTGTAAGGCTCAACTGTAACTCTAAATAGCTTAAATTTTAATTAGACATATGAATCTGGAACACATGAAAAAGTAAATGATAGTAATAATAATAATTACTTAAATTAATTAATATAAATAAGTGATACAAGTACTAAATGCCTACTATATACCAGGTGATTTACATATATCTTTTGAAATTACCCTAAAAGTATACTATATTCTCTGAAATTACCCTACAAAGTATGATTAACTGTATTTAACTGATGAGAACCCTGAGTCAGCAAAGTTTAGGAACTTTCCACAACTCAGTTAACAAAGGTGAATCCTGTCTCCAAAGCCAGAGTTCTTTCTTCTGAAATATATTACCTTTATATTTGTTTTAATTAGGATAGAGATTATCATCGCACACAATACCGATGCTTAGTAAAAAGAGTTATAAGGAATTCTGAAAGAAGGAAAGTTCTGTGGCATGGCTGGGTAAAGAAAACACTGGTGGACTGATTTTATCTAAGATATGAAAAACAAGTAGAAGGAATTATGAAGAGATAAGAGACCAATCTACCTACGAGGGGACTAGTTTGAAACCCAGTATCCTGGAATGGACTTGAAAGATGCACTGGGAAATGTAGCTTAACCTCATCTCAGTTCCAAGCAAGAGGTTCCTCAAGGTCTGCAAAATTACTGAGAACAGGAAAGAATTATGATTATTATCCCAGTGCTTGGGTTACCATTCAATGCCAAGATTTGCTCCTGGAAGGATCTTCTTAACTGGTTGTCCTCCAAGACCATATTCTAGATGAGCACAAAGGTTTCTGTCAACAGTGTTAATAGCCTACATTCTGTTGGTGCAAGTTCTGAGAGGCCTGGGAATTGCCCTAGAAGTTGAATAATTACTGGGCTTATGGTTTCTTTGGCTTTACAAAAAGCATTAGACTTTTAGTCTGTCTGTATACTTCTGATCCAGAGCCAAAGATTTTAACTACACAGAGCTCTGTGTAGTTGACAGTAAGAATTGCTGTCTTGCAGCCACAGGCCTGTGCTCTGGTGTCTCCCAGGTTGTAGCTTAATAGTTTTGGGGGACTACCTGTAATCCTATCCCATAATCCAAGCTTGCTCACTTTCATCCTCACAACCACCTCAAGAGGTGGTACTATCATTATCTCTATGGCACAGAGGGTAATTCTGATTCTTACAGAAGTTAAGACACCAAACAGAAAAGAGAGACATCATCAGGATTCTCCTTTCTTTCTAGGTTGGACCAAAACCTGGTATACAGGCTCTCTAGGTCTTCTCCAGGTGCATTTCACACTGCAGTTCTTTCTGTACCTTTTTCTCAGTAAATCTTTGCTTGTGAAGTTTGTCTTATGACATCCCTCTGCATCTGATCTGTGAAACCACAGAAACCCAGCCAGTGGGCGTTAGTCTGCCTGACTCGTGAGTCGTCCTTTTTGGAAGTGGTCAGTAGTGTCTGAAGCATCACAGAGTGCACCTAGCCCCTTGTGCCTGTCAGAA